TCTACCGATTGTTGTCGTAAGTTATATATAACAAATTTAAACATATCTAGAAATAAACGAATTATACATATAGAAATAAAACTGGAATTGGATTTTGTGTTTCTTTATATATCAAAATTGCAAACTAGCAGTTATTAAAATTAATGCAATATCAAACTTGCTCCGAGGTTTATAAACATTCTCTGATAGGAGAGTTATAATGTTCTTTACATTTTTTTTTATTAGGATTAAACACAATCTACATATTTATGTAAAGTTTTCTTTCTAAACTATTAGGTCCAAAAAAAGATTTCTAAAGCCAATAATCGGATTGCTTTATAGAATTGTCCTTTCTCTCATAGTGGAAAAACAATCTCAATTTCTTAACATTTTCTCATTTGTAACATTTGCATCAGTTCATGATGTACATTTAAAAATTAAAATATCTATTTCTTATTTACTGTTTCGTAAAAATGAAATATTGGTCACATAAACCTTTTGCAAATGTATACTTCATTTTCCTCAAAATTTGAGAATTGATAACAATTGTAAACACCAAAATCATAATACAACATACCAATGTTTCAGCGTCCCTGTGTGTACTAAATGTGTCCTTGAGCTTATTTTCCTCTTCACCAGAGTGGTGGATTAATAATTTGTCCTTTATGCCTCTGCATAGAGAAGCCAGTTAAATGCATGTATATTTGCAAAGAAAATATGTATAATGGAGGTTTTCTTGTTAGTTTGCGTTAAATCATTGCGTGTCACTGACTATGTGGTAATTTGCAAGTTGTTTGCTTTTAAATAAAGTATTGATAAAGTATTTAGTTTTAAATCTATTTTAGCAAAAACAGAAATAAGTAGAAACTTATTGCGAACAATAAGAAGTTTTTCCGTCCGATCGACAACCCTAAAATACGAAACCGGATCGCCCGCTTAAAAAAGGCATTAAGCCATTGAGAACCTTTGCCTAAAATTTAAAAAATCGCTTTTATCGAGATTGGTTTTGTAAATTTTATGTATCAAGTGTATGAAAATGTTCTATGTGAAAATCTCGAATTATGCGATTAAGGGGCAAAATAAAAAACAACCTAGGGATTTAATTTTACTAATGGAAGACATCTCATACCCACTGTTCATTTTCTAAGCAGGAAATTTTTCAAAATCACATGTCTGTTTTGAATTTGTTAATATTCCCAACAATCAGAATAAATTTAAATTACTAATATACTTGACTCTAAAACTTCATAAAGACCGTAATGTTCTACCAAGCCTCTTTCTTTACTCCTTACTAAAATATTAACAGAAGTGAAGATGAAACTTCAGAGGTACTGTAAGACCTGGCCTGATATAGCTGCAATCCTACCTTGTGCTTTACTTACCTTGTCATTGGTCATTTGCAAAATTATTTTGTTAAAAAACTTTTTTATTGTACTCTTAAATTAATACACGCATTAAGGGACTCCGACCCTCAGCCAGGAAGGACAACTCTTTAATTTATAATTTAATTCAAATAGTCTTTAAATGAAGCTTGAAAATTAAATCTTTTCATGCAACAATTTTCGTTATATGCCTCTTAATGTGCTTCAAGGTTCTTTGAACTTCCCAGAAAGGTCTAATTAAAAGTAGAAATTTTTATCCCGTAATAGCATTTTTAGATACCAATGTTTATTTACATGATATGAAATTAGAAGTGATTTATGGAGCTTTGCAAAGAACCTTGAAACACATGGAGAGGCATATAATGAAAATTGTTGCATGAAAATATTTAATTTTCAAGCTTCATTTAAAGACTTTTTGAATTAAATTATAAATTAAAGAGTTGTCCTTCCTGGCAGAGGGTCGTAGTCCCTTATAAGATTCTTGAGTTTCTCATTGAAAATAAAGCTATGCGATATTTGGAGACCAAGTTTTTCAACAATCAATTGGAGTTCCCATTGGTACTTTTTGCGCACCGTTATAGGCAGATCAATTTTTTGCATTCATATGAAGCCGAATGTGTCCCAAATCTTAAACGATAAAAGAAGAAAACACTTGTTGTGGCATTTAACTCAACATTTATACTGTATGGGGAGAAAATAACTCGCGGTGTTGATGGAAATCTAGCAACAAGTTATATGATAAAAGTGCTGACTTTAACTTTTGCATCGTCACCTACCTTTACTTATGCTGCAATATACCGAGCCAGGTGAGTTTTAATGAGGAAAGCAAAATTCTATTAATCAGCTTATGTGATAATCATTTTTCATTTCCTCATATGATTCAACTTGCTTGGTGCATTTTTTAAAACGTTTATATCACACTATAAGCACAAATCTAACATATTCTAAAATTTATTTTCATCTGTGGTCATAAACCTTTACTGAGTTTTATTTCTCAATATTTGTAATTCCACTAAAGTATTAGATAATAGTGTCCAAGTGTCATTTCTAGTTTGCAATGAAATACAACGGGTTATTGCGTAAATGTAGTATCAGTTCACTTTATGCTCTTTACCTTGAAAACTAATTTTGCTCTTTGTTTTCATATATTTCTTTCAAAGAAATTCGACAAAGGCGGTCACTGTAAATTCACTTATTCTCGAGGAGTCAAATTTGTGTTTGATGAAAAATAGCTGGTTCAAGGGGATTTGATTTCATTCTTAAAGGGAACGTATTAAACATAAGTAAAAAAAAGCATTTTAATTTGTACTAGATATGATTTTGAGGGGTTTGGCAAAGCACAAATGCATTGAAATTGCACTCATACACATGACACATAACACAGAAATTTTTAACCTTTTTTAATCGAGAGAGTTGGTAAGATCTGTAATCGGAGGGTCGTGAGTTCGAATCTCGGCTACAAGTGACCTAAAACGATAAAAATAGGTAGCAACTGATCCTTAGAGAAAAAAAAAACTGTTACAGCATTCTGTTTGAATATTTAGCCGAGCATTTTTTTCATCAGAAATAACCCTTGCTTTCCAGGGACTTTTTTCAAAAATGATTGATTAATTGTTATTTAGATTCCTATTTAAGATTTTTCATTTATATAGAGACGTCACCATACCCGTGAAGGGATTTTAAATTTGAAATTTATTCGGCACTCAGTGTCATTGAACCATGAGGGTTTATCGAATTAAGGCCTGCTTGTGATTCATTAGGATGTCATCCGAAGGACCCACAACTTTTACGTGAAAGTGTCCAGCGCATTACAAAGGAACAGTTGCTACCCGGTTTTTTTTTTTTTATTTAACTCAGAAGCGGTCAAGATTCGAAATCACGATCTCCGACCACAGATCGAATACTCTACCAACTGAGCAATTGTTAACGGTTGTAAAAATTCTGGATAAATATTTTGGTTGATAAAAGGGATTCCATGTGATTGATTTATTGATTGTATGAAGTTTAACGTCACTTTCGAGAATTTCTCACTCAAATGGAGACACCACCTCTTGCCGGTAGGGAACTGCATTTGTCCTATACTCGTCACTCACGGCCATTGAGCAGTGTCGGATCTTTTTCGTGCTAGCACCTTCTGCGACACGGGACCTCGGTTTATATGGTCTCATCGGAAGGACCAATCTCCACGTCCCACAGTGGGATTCGAACCCGCGACGTAAGGTTTGACTCCTTTAATTTCTTCGTGACTCTAGAGCAGAGGTTCTAACCACTGTGCCATGCGGGCGACGGTGGTCCATGTGTAATGTCATATTCTTTGTTGATTATTTGAAAAGTAATTCTGATAGCCATACCAACATATATATTTAATATCATTTCAGAGAGGAGACACGACACTTTCTAAGGGAAAATCATCTTTGCGTGAAACAGGCTTAAGGCCTAAATTCCGCTAAATTGATCGCTACTCACTATTACTTTTTATTAAGGCTTTATTTGCAGTCCTAGATAGTTTCAATTCCAATACCATGCAATATATTTGAAACCAATTCTTACTGGTTATTAAAATAAATAATATTTGTATATTACGAAATGTGATGAGTTTTCAACCGTATGTGTTTAATAATGCAACATGTTCAAGGGAAGTTACATTTTTAACATAGTTTGGAACAACCCTGAAGTTGTACTGAAAATAATAATTAAAATGACATATGACTTATGAATGCATTGTTACGGGTATGGAGGTATATATAAAGCACATTTGCTAACCAAAGGGTTACCACACCAAGACAGGACCGTCATATCCCCCTTCAGCAATCGATTGAGATCTCTCGAACAAACTACTGTCTCAGTTGCTGGTTGAAGAAAGCAGCATAAAAATGCACAAATTGTACACAAGCGACTTAGGGGTGCTAGTATTCATCCAAGTAATTGGTACATAAGAAACATACTGGCGCTGAGACATCGAAAAGTATAAATTGCTACAATATATGCCCCTTGAATCATGGGGGCGATGAAAATGACATTAACCTAATTTTTCAATTCGCAACATAGGGCATGTTTGATTTTTATCACAACTCACTTCGCAATCACTTGAAATAATACTGTTAAAATTGAAAGCTTAGATTACCATGTTTAATCTGAATATGCGTTTCTGTTTTGTTTTTTTGTTGAGTATATGTCTGCAAGACCCGTGCTGGACATAACATGAATGATAAGAGCCAATCCATTTGTATTTATATTTTGCACTTTTTGATTTTGGCATTGTGAGCGTCTTATATGCATCTCAGTCATTTTGAAATTATAAACATCCATCAAAATAATACTTTTTTATTTATATCTGCTAAAGTATTTTTTAATTAATAACTTTCCTGTCATCAATACCTATAGTTGTAAGTGTATAATTATACGTTTGAAGTGACAAACCAGCATTAATTCTGTCCTTTAATGCACAGTGTAAGTAAAATGTAAACAAAATTTATTTGATGAAGTCGATGCTACACACCTCGATTCTTTCTTTTAAATTTTAATATAATAAAGTCTTTCATTATTTTGGGTTTAAATTTTTATTTTCAATTTCTTTCAATTGGCTTATTTTTTTTCAGATTTATACAGCAATAGATAATCTATCAAAAATATAAATCATCAGCAATATTTCCTACAATAAAGAAGAAACTGACGTGCAGGAGGTGAAAACATGAAATAAACGATTGGATTTATACAATTATTAAACATGATACAAAGAGATGCTATAATATAGCTTAGTACAAATGTATAAGAAGTACAAACATATAATTCCCAATTGTTTTCAGTACATACGTAAACTATGACTATATATACATAAAATGGAGTGAAACTAATAATGAAAATAGCAATTATAATGATGAACATAATTGACATAGAACGAGACATATGTGTGTAACGTTGCGTTCTTGTAACAGACTGATGTCGCTTTATTGCTATTATTTTCTTAAAATGAAAGAAAACTACAAAGAATAAAGGTAACAAGTAAATATAACTTGCAAATGTAATCTCAGTGATCAAAGTATGTTGATACTTAATTATACCTTTAATTTCCATTATTTTTACTGTGCCATAAGCACACGTTGCAACACCACTAAATGCCCAAAGAACAGCAGAGATCTTTATAACTTTTCCACATGTTATTCCAAGACTTTCAAATGGTGACGATATCAATGCACAGCGAACATAAGCAAGTAAAACTATATGCCAGTTTGCCGCATGTAGAAAGAACAGGGTAAAAATATGATATATTGTAATCTCCTTGTAATTGAAAATCGGAAAATATATGTTCAGAGCTGATATAAATCGGGAACATGATGCCAAAAGATCAGCAATTCCAAGACAAGCAATAACTGTAAAAGTTGGTGTATGCAACTTTCCTTTCACAGCAATAAAAATAATTGTGAAACAGTTTCCAAAAGCTCCAACTATTAACATTATAGTAGTAGAAACGAAGATTTCAAAGGTATGTTGGAAAATTTCTTCTTCTTCTTCTCCTACGTTATCCGTTAGATTATTCCCAAACATAAAGAGGCTTCTGTTGTGTACTTTACTGGATGAAAACAATTTTTCCGTTGTGTCAGTATTGTCCATTATTCTATAAATAAAAATCCAGATTGATAGTCATTTATACTAAGTTTGATAAAAAAAAAAGTTCGCAAACTAATTGAATAACTTCCATAAAAGAATTTAAATTTGGTTTCAGTGTTGATTATTTTTAAATAAGTCTTCTCCGATTTTACCACCATTCTTCTCATGCGCGAATCACGTGATATAGGCAGTCACGTGACATCCCCCCCCGGTAGCTTTCTGTAACAAAAGCTGTAATATTTTTCTGATTGTTATATTTCTTTCCATGTAAGTTAATTTTTATACCAAAAACAGTTCATTTGTTAGAAATGGTCAAATCTCGGCAACAGAATGGATGGATAAGAATTTCCTGTCCAAAAATAAGCATGGCAACCATCAAAACCCAAATCTTCTGTCTTGGGAGGGACATTTATTCAAAGTTGATAGTGATTGGTTGCCTCCTTTTTATCATATCTATTATGTTTAAAATCTAGATATAACGAAATCTTATGTATTTAATAAGTACATCATTGTTGAAATATTCAAGTGTTTTTCAAACTGTAAATTGGACGTATTTGCAAATTGCTTCATTAAAAACACATCTCTTTTCCAACTTGTTTTCACTGGGCTACAAAATAAGTATCATTTTTACCATCTGCACTCCTTCACTAATACGACCGATCAAATCATTTATTAAATTTATTGGAAGACATTCATCTTAATAAACTGTGTACAAATTATTATACTCTACTTCAAAGGGATTTTTAAGATATACATGTACCATAAATTCTACAGTCGTTTGTTGAATGAGTACGAGTGAGAAAACCATTTTTCGTCACAAGTGACCCACATAGTGACGTCATTTTAACATTGTGATGTCACAATCAAGGAGCAAAACTTTATTCATCATATTCTATTTATAAACCTGATGTAAAGCTATGTGAGTACCAATTTTTTGTTTATAATCTGAAATGTTGTTTTGTAGATATAGAGATTGTTCGCGAACTTTTTGATAACCCCTCGTAATATCGTCCATAATTCAAGGGCTGTTGAATAGATAATGTCATGAGCTCGATGGCATACAATATAAAAATCATATAACATTAAGCTAGACTTTCTCTCATTATTGAATCTTTAAAGAATTAATAACAACTTTTATGACTGCTTTTCATGACATTTACTGAAAGTTAAAAGAAACGCATAAGAACGTAAAATGCCAAAACAAGTTGACTATGTGGCCGAAAATTATGAAAATTGGTCAAATGTGTATTTTTGTTACTTCGTACTAGAAATCGCTGGTCAAAACTACTCAACCGTGAAATGTATGGCGTCACGTAGGTGAAGTGATGAAAAGCCAAAACACGTGCATGTTGATGATGACAATTTTATGATCACATTTTGCCAATCGATGCATTAGATTTATAGACATTGTTTTCCGCATTTGCAATCAGTATATTTTTTTTGCAATTGTGGTATGGCTGACGGAAGTTACACTGGTTCCAGTAATTGAATTGTGTAAGTGAATAAAAAGGTAATAACCTGTTGCTATGTAGTTTGTTGTTGAACTTTTCAACAAAAAAAGGTTTTTGCAGTTGTCCGAGAGAGGTTTCCAACCAACCAAGGCGGTGACGTTGACGCATAAGAACGTAACATCAATATTAGGGTTTTTCATCATGCCACCTCGGTTATTGTCAAGGTATTATAACTGAAACCGATATTTATACAGCAGACTATCATACCCATATTTTCCACCCTAAAATTGACAGAAAATCTATGCTCTAATTTGGGGTGCAAGCTTGCCGACTTTAACGTCAATTTTACTCTTACATGCGCACGTATTTTAACATGTTAATACTGGGAAAATGTAGCCAGTGTTTTTAGAGACTATCTTACAACCATTCATTTACGAAACCAGCTGGATTCTGTAAATTTTATTCTAAAACGAAAAACTGGTGACATTCATTTTGCGGGCGGATTTGTTGGCCTTGGAATAATACAACTACTCTCAACCATTAAGACTATTGTCGGAAGGGTTGAATAGTAATCCTATGAGAAAAACAAATGCTCTGGTGAACAGGAAAATCAAGACTATTACCAATATGCAAGGGAGATGATGAGAAATTTTATTTTAATTTTGGGTGTATCGACATATCATTTCAATAACTCAAGAATTAACTTGTTGATTAAAGATGAATTGAAATATTTGATAACAATACTGGAAAACATTTTCGAAATAATAGTTTTAATTTAATTTCAAAATTTAATATGCGTTTCTTTTTCCTTTCAGTATACTTTCATTGTGCGAAACTGGAAAACAAGGCCTATTCGAGACATTATATTAAAAACTAATGGTAAAGATTCAGTAATCTAGAGTGAAATTAAATGGTTTAAACGGTAAACTTTGTTAAAAATCCTATAGAAATAATGATTGAATCATGTTTAATTTACAGCAACCAATGTCTGTTTTTATACACACATGAGCAGGTGGATTTCAATGAACAAAAATGATATAATTGACATAAAAACTGGATACCGTCCTTGGCTACAGTTATAATAACCATTGTTCTGTTTCGCAAAAAGTCAAAAAATTACCATTGTTATGTTTGATTGACTTTAAGACACAGCAAAGTTAACAGGCATCATTTTGAGGTAGTTCACATTGCTTTAAAGAATTATTTGACAGTAAAAAAGGCTTAATACTCAACAGTCACCCCATGTTTATATTTTGAACATTTTTTGAAAAAGACAACGTGTTAGAACATTTGAACAACTATTTCTAAAAATCAGAAATTGTAGTTAACCACGTTTGCCTAAAATTCAAACAGATAATTGGATTTGAATCTATTGCTTTAAACACTCAAAACAAATTTACAATCAGATGTACTTGAAAAGGCTTGAGAAGAGCAAAGAACTGCAAGAGCACAAAGACAGTTTTTATGTGTTTTTTTTTTTCAATATTATTAATTCTATTGTTCACATTCTTATTTGCAGATGCAGTTCAATTTCTGGGGGAGTCCAGAAAGCAATACCGGTATCTCTGCAAAAATTGAAAGGTTCCCGAGAGAAAGGAACCAGAATAAGGAATCAAGAAATTAAATTTCTTCATGACAGCGTCCAAACCTACAGGCCATGAATTGTGAAGCATCGAGATTTGGGGATAACCAGAAAGTTAATGTTACAAACACGTGTTTTAATTAAAAGAGAATATTTCAGTGAAATCATGAATACTTGCATGATCATTGAGAAGCATTTTTTTTCTTTCCGGGCACCGATGACATTATTTATTGACTGTGTCCAGACACAGATTTTGAAGTATTTTTTTCTGTATAATATCACGAATTGTATATTTTAAAAACATTTCACACAAAAAATAATTAAAAACATTTTTCATATAAAAGTTATTAAAACTTCACTTTTTTGGCGGGTTTGATTGACACATCCCTGCACTTTCACAAATTTAAACATATTCTAAATCCTTCGGTAAAGTGGCAATCTTGTTGTGTATTAATGAGAAATATTAAAACTTTAATCCAGAAAAATAATTTTGTTCAGAGTAGAAATGTAACAAAGCAAAATTCCTTCTCAAGGACCGTCATTCCGAAGTAAGTCTTGTGTGCAAATCGATCACACTCGTGTTATGTACACAGTTTTTGTAAACAGGGCAAGAGCTCTGTTATTGTTGATTGTTTCACCGGGTGCGTTCAAATGTCAAAGTCTGTTCACCACAACTGCACGGACTGAGAATATATTGTGTGTTTGTTTTGCTTTCGCACATGTTTACTCTAATTTTTCTGGATTATAGTATTAATATATTTTATCTATACACAACAACATTGCCACTTTCCCTAAGTATTAAGAGTAAAATTTCTGAAAGTGCAAGGATGTGTCAATCAAACCCGCCAAAAATTTAAACGTTTTAATAACTTTTAAATGTAATAAGATTTTTAATCAATTTTGTGTAAAAAAGCTCTTAAAATATATAAGTCGTAATATTATACAGAAATAATTAACTCCAAATCTGTGTCCAAGTACCTTTAAACAGTGTTTAACAATGAATTTATTCCTTGGAAGTTTATTACTCTTGACATTTTTAAAAACGCTCTGAAATATTATGGACTTTTGATCTTGAATACTGTTCATTATCTCCATATGTTTCATACAGAAAATTATTATTTTAATATGGACAAGGAAGTAAAATTTGCTGATTAACTTTCTGGCAGACTTTTTCATACTTGACAAAATCGGGTTCCAAAGCATAACATAAAATGCTCTTTGGTTAGTAAAGAGCAGAATATGACCTAAATTTTACATATCAGTAAAATCTAATTTCGATTGTGATCAAACTCATGAACTTGATTTACTTTTGTATGGTAGTCCCAATCATGAACTAGGTATTAATATTCAAATATTTAAAGCAGTACATGCTTTCATCGCAGCAACCAAACGTTTTATTTTACACTGGCATGTATGTTACTTATGCCAACACTTTCTAACCGGTACTTCATTGTAATTTTTTTCTATCCACTTTTTTCTTGTTTCTTTGTTACTATGTTTGTCAATTTTGTTTCATACCTATATATATAGTGTGTTCAACTTGACCTTGTAGGGAGAGGGCTAAAATAGGTTTTTTTTCTACTGCCCAATTGCATTGTCTTATGTGAATAAAATTTGGTATCAATAAAAAAATCTAATTTTGGGAATTTTATCTTATATAGCTTAAAACTATATCGAATGTTATAATATCATTTCTATTTAACAAACAACTTTTATCTTTTTTTTTTAATTTACGACCTTCAACATCACAAAAATCCAAAAAAAAATTTCTTGTTTATTTTAACTCTTCAAAAGGTCACAGTGCATTTTGTAAGAATCATATGTAAATTATTATTCCGATATTCTGATATGTAATCTTAGGTTGTATACTTTAGATTCAAATTAACAAAAAAGATATTTGAGTTTTTTAAACTATCCCCTAGAAAGGAGCTTGCATTACTGCAATGATTTTCCATTTAGATCTAAAAAAGTTTCTGGCGTTCCTTTGTCGTTCTGTAATATTTGTATCCTGCCTCTCTCTTAATTTTTCTATTAATCCCTGTCGTTGTCCCAGGCCATTCTGTCTTACCCATGGCGATCCCTGATTTTGCCCCTAATATCAATGTCTACTCCCTGATATCCCCTTGCATTCCCTAACGTCCCTTTCTACTTCCTGACAAAGTACCTGACGAATCTGTATTCCAACTGTCATGCACCTGATCCGAAATTTGAGAGGTTGGTATTTTTGCTCTTATTTTGTCTTATATTGATTGATTGATTGTATACTGCTTAACGTCCCTCTCCAAAATATTTCACTGATATGGAGACGTCACCATTGCCGGTGAAGGGCTGCAAATTTAGACCTATGCTCGGCACTTATGGCCTTTGAGCAGGGAGGAATCTTTATCGTGCCACATCTGCTGTGACACGGGGCCTCGGTTTATACGGTCTCATCCGAAGGACCGCCCCATTTAGTCACCTTTTACGACAAGCAAGGGGGTACTGAGGACCTATTCTAACCCGGATCCCCACGGGGCTTTTGTCTTATATAAACGTAATTTGGGCTCAATCTCTGATATTATTCTTGTTCTTTAATTTCTTGGCATAAAAGTAATTAATTAGAAGAACAGATTCCAATGATATATACTTTAAAAGCCAAATACAGTTTTACAAATTATGTCGAATTTCAAACGCAAATATTACACTACATATGTTTGTTTTTTGCATTTAAAGTGAATGGAAATCTATTGCATTCAAAGCACCATAACACGGACAAGGTCCCTAAAGGTAATGCGTTTTAGTTTGACGTCACAATCGTTTATCACGAACGCCGAAGAAAATCTATAAAAAAAATTATGCTCATATTGCCAGAAGCTGTTATGTTGGCTGTTCCATTTATTTTAGTTTACTCGAAAGACTTTTAATTGTTCGTAAATGTATAATGAGTACTGAATATACTAAAATAAATTAACATACCTCCTGTGCTCTCTATTTAACCTTAAGAAAAGTCGTCTTCCTCCTTATCCATTTAAAAAATATACTGAAGTCACTTTTTTACATTTTATAAGGCGTTTCCAGTAAATAAATTTGCTTCTTGAAATTGACAATTAAACCTCTGTGTGTATTATAGTCTTACGATATCAGATAAACAGAATACCCATTTTGTTTTTTATAAAGTATCAAATTCGGAAGAATGTAATTTTGATGAAAAGAGTATTGATCGAACTGAAAAGGATTTCCAATTTCCAAGAATGTATGAACAGTTTTTGATGTTCTATTTTATAAGGTTACGTATTGCCGAGCATCAGCTTACATATTTTTTAACTTAAATGTTGTTTACATATTTAATATCGTGGAGAAAACTATTTCAATAAAATTTCGTACATGTAGCTAAAACTTTTTTTAGGCAAACCATCGATATAATGCACAGTAATAGTTTAAAAGCAATAAACAAAGAACAAAAAAAGTTTAAAAATACACTTGAATGAGTGATTTTTATTACTTTTGGACTGAATGCTAGTATATTAAAATATATAAATAGTGTATACAAGATTATATGGTCATAACGCACATGCATTCTTATGCGCTTGGGTGCAATGCTAAAAATTGAATATAATTGGTATCCTTCTGGGAAAACGTTGTTAAAGTCAAAAATGCATAGAGTTCGCCTTATTTAATGAAGCTTACAGGGAATATGGCACCGAAAGGGAGTTGGGGAGCGTTTGGGGAACATCTGTAACGGTTCCCGTTACAATTAGCACTAGTTCTCACTGTGCCGTAGGCACAAGTTGCAACACCACTAAATGCCCAAAGAACAATAGAGATCTTTATAATTTTTCCACATGTTATTCCAAGACTTTCAAACGGTGACGATAATAATGCACAGCGAACATAAGCAAATAAAACTATATGCCAGTTTGCTGCATGTAGGAAGAACAGGGAAATAATTTGGATAATTGAAATCTCAATGCGATTAAAAATCCGATAATAATTGTCCAGAACTAATATAAACCGGGAACATGATGCCATTAGATCAGCGATCCCAAGACAGGCAATGACTGTATATGTTGGTGTATGCAAATTTCTTTTCACAAAAATTAATGTAATTGTTAAACAGTTCCCAAAAGCCCCTGCTGAGAAAATAATAATGGCAGAAATGAAGATTTCAAAAGGATCTTGGAAAAAATCTTCTTCTCCTTTGTAATCTGTTAGATTATTTCCAAACATAAAAAGGCTTCTGTTGTCATCTCTACTTGATAAAAACAATTTTGCAGTTGTGGCATTATTGTCCATTATTCTAAAAAAAAAAATGATACCGCTGAGTGACTTCTTGGACCAGTGGATGAGGTGATGGACTGCTTACGTCACAGAATAGGCAGAGCTTACCCAAACAAAAGATACTATAGTTAACTATAGTTAACTATAGGCTACTATAATTAACTATAGTTATAACTTTGACACTTTGAAAACTTTGATTTCCCTTACCAAAGCAAAATTATTGCAGCAATATTGCTGCTATATTGCGGCAACATTGCAGCAACACATTTTTGTCACCAGAAACAAGCTTTTCGGGTTAGTAAAATTTCATCGCTAGCGGCAACAACTTCTGGTGACATTCTGACAATACTGCCAGAAAAAAACTTTTTAGCAGTATTGCCAGAATGTCGCCAGAAGATCTAGGATTACCCATGAGGCATTTGTGAGCATGCTCAGTCATTTACTTCCTCTTTTTAAATAAAATGGAGGAAATTCAACGGCAAGCATGTTTTCCTTTATTATTGAATTGATCAAGTTAATTGGAGTTGATAATTGTGTACAGTAGGATTAAACATGATTACTAGTAAGACTGAATAATGTGGAATAGCCAGAAAAAAGAATTTTAGCAGTTTCCATTGCATGGCCTTTTGAAAATATTATAGGAATGTCCAACTCTGTTTTCATGGTATATATATCAGACTTGGTATGTCAAAACCATATTCTTTTTTAGATAAATAATTCTATGGAGATAAAATAGGAAAATTTTTATGCATTTCAACTAATGCTTGTGATGCATGTATACTATACTTGTATGTCTAATATAATATCATATACATTGTTGCAGGAAAAGATATGAATGCATGTTATCAATTAAATGCATGAACATATACAGTGGACCCTCATTTATCCGGACGCTTTGGTTCCCAGTCAATTTGTCCGGATATGTGAAGCATCCGGATATCTGAATCACCAGTTAAACGAGACAGAATAACATTTTCAAATTTCGTTCCGATGAAAAATCGTCCGGATACTGAAGCATCCGGATATCTGAAGGTCCACTGTATATCTAATTTATTGCATAAATTTGAAAATCTGCAAGAAAATAATGATTCTACATATAAGTTGGAAATTACAAACAAGCTATATATTATACATTAATTATACTGATTGGCATTGGGGACTATCTGATGGGCAGCTAATTAAGGTTATTTGAAATATAATGCAGAGATGCTGGACATTTTCACAGTGGCATATGAATTTTTTTATATACACATTTTTATGTGCCCAGATTGATAGATTGGGGGCGGATAATGTTTTTGTTCTGTCTGTTTGTAAACTTTAACTTTCACCATAAGTGATAACTTTTGAACCAATGAGAGATGGAGACTTCATATTTTGTATGCATAGTCCACTTATTAAGTCCTTTCAAATGACATCAAGGTCAATGACCTTGTGAACTTGACTGAAATAGGTTTTTTTATTTAATATTCGCATAATTTTAAAACGATGAGAAATAGAGACTCTATATTTAGTTTGCATACTCAACTAATTTAGTTCTTTAAAATGACACCAAGGTCTTTGACAAATAACCTTAGCTGTGACCCATATGCTTAAAATAGATTTTTTAAAACTTTCGACATAACTTTTGAACCAAGAAAGATGGCAACATCATATTTGGTATGCATTCTCCACTAATAATTCTCTTTCAAATGACACCAAGGTCAAAGACCTTGTGACCTCTACTGTGACCTATATGCTAAAATAGCCTTTTTGAACCTCCACCATAAATTTTGAACCATAAGAGATAGAGACTTCTTATTTAGTATGCATATTTCACTAATTAAGTTCTTTCAAATGACACCAAGATCAATGACGTTGTGACTTTGACTGTGACCTATATGCTAAAAATGGTTTTTCAAACTTTGTTGCCGCTTGGAGCATTGTGTTTCAAAAACACATCTTTTACAACAAAATTTTTCTATCTTTTCAAAGAATAGCATATTAAGCTTAAGTAGCTATTTCATACTGACTCTGTAGCTTATCCCATTGATTTTTATGTTCCTCAGCACAGTTTGTAAAATCTTAGATTGATAGATCATTATTTCTATTAAATACAAATTTATATAGGTATATAGTACTGCAGTGTTGCCCCAAAATTGCTGCAGCAAAACCTGAAGTAATACATGTACTGCAATTGCTTTGCAGCAACATTGCCTCAACACTTTTCTGGCAATACTGACGCAAATCTAATTTACATACGAAAAACGATATTCCCGCAATATTGCTGCAATATACTGCCAGAATGTTGCTATAGTATTGCCTAAATATTGCCGCAACACTTTTCTGGAAATATTGGCGCTAATCTAATTACGAAAAACGATATTGCCACAATATTGCTACAATGTATTGCCAGAATGTTGCTGCAATATTGCTCGGCAATAATGCCAGAAGATTTTGCCAGAAGGTGAGTATTTTGGTAGGGGCTACTATAGTGATAAATTTGACACTTTGAAAAACTTTGGAGAAAACTGACACTTTGAAAAACTTTGGTGAAAACTTTGACACTTTAAAAAACTTTGACGAAAACTTTGACACTTTGAAAGACTTTGGCGAAAACTTTGACACTTTAAAAAACTTTGGCGAAAACTTTGATACTTTAAAATACTTTGACGAAAACTTTGACACTTTGAAAAACTTTCGTGAAAAACTTTGACACTTTGAAAAACTTTGGCGAAAACTTTGACACTTTGAAAAACTTTGGCGAAAACTTTGACACTTTGAAAAACTTTGGCAAAAAATTTGACACTATGAAAACTTTGGCGAAAACTTTGACACTTTGAAAAACTTTGGCGAAAACTTTGACACTTTGAAAAACTTTGGCGAAAACTTTGACACTTTGAAAAACTTTGGCGAAAAATTTGACACTTTGAAAAACTTTGGTGAAAACTTTGACACTATGAAAAACTTTGGCCAAAACTTTGACACTTTGAAAAACTTTGGCCAAAACTTGGATACTTAAGCACTTGGAAAAACTTTATCGAAAACTTTGAGACTTTGAAATAGTTTATAGAAAACTTTGACACTTTCAAAAACTTTGACACTTTGAAAAAATTTATCAAATAGTTTGATACTTTGAAAAACTTTTTCAAAAAATATGACACTTTGAGAAACTTTAATTGAAAACTTTGATACTTTGAAAAACTTTATCAAAAACTTTGACACTTTGAAAAACTTTATTGAAAACTTTGACACTTTGATTAAGTTTATCGTAAAGTTTGATACTTTGAAACACTTTATCGAAAAATATGACACTTTGAGAAACTTTAATTGAAAACTTTGATACTGTGAAAAACTTTATCAAAAACTTTGACACTATGAAAAACTTTGGCGAAAACTTTTACACTTTGAAAAACCTGGGCCAAAACTTTGACATTTTGAAAAAAACCTTAGCCAAAACTTTGACACTTTGAAAAACTTTGGCCAAAACTTGGATACTTTAACACTTGAAAAAACTTTATCGAAACTTTGACACTTTGAAGAAGTTTTTCGAAATCTTTGACACTTTAAAAAACTTTATCGAAAACTTTGACACTTTGAAAAAGTTTATCAAAGAGTTTGATACTTTGAAAAACTTTATCAAAAAATATGAAACTTTGAGAAACTTTAATTGAAAACTTTGATACTTTGAAAAACTTTATCGAAAACTTGACACTTTGAAAAACTTTGGCGAAAACTTTGACACTTTTAAAAATTT